GTTTAAAGCAATCAGGTAAATTTACGATGCTGCTGTTACACGTATTGCTTACATCAATGGTTTCGGAACGATTGAATGTTATCCAAGGCGTTTTAGCGTGATTGGATGCCAGTCGACGAGAGACTGTACGCGACGATCAAGAGAACGCGCATTGCAATGAACGACGATGCAAAGCGATTTCGAGATTTAGACAAGAGAGAAAAGGGAAGGGAAGATACAACGATTAGAAAGGGATGCCTGATTAAACGTGATCTTTCAAGCGTAACGTTATTCTCTTTTGAAAACGATCTCGATCGGAACTGATCGAGCAAGCCGCAAGTATTTTAGGAATCCGAAATGTAGGAATGAGAATTTCGAGATTATACCATAATTCTCTTTCAGTCAGATCTCTGAGAATTTGAAGAAAATCAGTGGCTTTTATTAAAAGAGACCTACAATTTTTAACTTTATCTTGATATTTCAATGAATATTAAGTTTTTGTAAAAAAATAGAAATTTTTATTGTGTTCATTTACAAAACAATATTGATATGGAGAAAAATTTTAATAAATTATTATCTTTATAATATATTTTAAAGAATATTTAAGATAATTTATTAAACGTTTAAGATAATTATAAAGTAATTATGAAGTAAAAATAAACACGAAGTATTATCAGTATTCTCAATACGCATGTTGAACCGTCCATGAGTTTTAACGGAGTTGATAAGTAAACTCGGGCGCACTCTCAATTCCAAGCTAACATAATAATCGTTAATTGCGTAGACTTTACACACGGCTTGAAAGTTGTAATGGCGCTTAGTTTCGTTTAGAGCCATTTGCGCGACCGGAACGTGACGCCATTAGAAAAACTTTGCGATTTAACACTACTGCGGTTGTGATTCTAAACGACATATTATTTCCTTTTAAAAGCAGATGAAATTGCAATTGAACTATACAAATCGCTCAAATAAAAAGATTATTAAAGCGCTTGATAAATCAATTTTTTTTAATGGAGAAAAATTATAACAGATAATTGGACCGCAAACGAATAAAACAAATTCATGAAATATGTGTAATTCAAGAATTTGGTATTTTAACATCAAAATTATTTATAAAAAAATCAGTATATAATTTTATTAATTTAACCGAATGTTTAATTAATAAAATGCGAGCGAAAGCTCTTTTTTAAACCTCTTTTTTTGCTACATATCTATATTGGAACGTAGTAACGTTTAAGAAAGGAATAAAAATGTGATTTTTTTTATTGATTTACCGCAAAATATTCGATTACACGATGAAGAACTTTCTATTTATTGTTGTATGAATTTTATATTTATTGTTTTACGAGGATTTTTCAGCCAAGAAAAACATGACCGGGAAAACGCGGACACGATAAAAAGTGATTCCTTCGAGAATCTGCGCGCAATCTTACGATGTGATGCAAAAATCGCGAGTTTTCTGGTGAGACGTAGTCACTCTAAATCCGATCGATTGACAATTTCGTAGGAAAAGAGGATGCGATGAGCTGCTTTTACTTCGTTCGGCGAACCGAGCGACTCTTGTAAACGGATTGGCTTCCCTCAAAGTGCATCATCAATGCTTATAATTGTTCCTTTTTCGAATCTGCAAATGAATCATCGAGAAGGAAAATCTATTATATGCATATACGGCCACGTATTTATAAAGAGCTTCACATAATAAAAAGAACAGAGAATAGAGAATTTCAACCTACCAGAAACTGTGTATTCTACAATACATGATTTCTGATAGGTTGAAATTCTTATTCTCTGTTCTCTGTTCCCTGTCTCTTTTATTGTGCGGAACTTCTGACGCTCCACGAGTATTGATAATTTACTAGAATATTCTAAAGCAATTAGAGCCAGAAATTCTAATGTCGAGATAGTTTTCAAATACAAGAGATCAAAATTAGCTAATTGGCTAATATCATACAAAGTTCGCGTGTCCTTGTAATTGCGCTTATGTGCGAATCAATTTGTCATCGAATATCAATTTATAGCTCATGATACTGACAATCCCAGAAATTTAATGCTGAATTTAATAATGAAAAACAATAATTAATTATTTATTTTATTATTATATAATAATTAATTATTTATATTAAAAGTATTGTTCATTGCTTTTAGTATTTCAAATAAATAATTTATTATAACTACTATCTTTCAGTAATAAATTAGCCAATATTTTTATAAGAGCAGTTAATCATTAAAATAAATTTTATATGCCAATTATTTAACTTTGTTAAAAAAAATTGAATAATTAATATATCGTTCCACTTTAATGAAATTGATAAATTATGGTATTAAACACACCATTTCAAGAATAAAATTTTTACAATTAAAAAATAATAATTAAATAATTTAATAATATCATTTTTCTTTCAAAAATTGTTATGTTCAAACGACAATGAAAATTGTATTTGATTTCCTTATATTTAATTTGAAAAAAGAAATAAATCGTCTAATTTTTTGTGATAATTGTGAATTTATTTTGCTTGATTTATTAAATTATCGTTATTAAAATATAATTCTATCGTTATAATTCTATAAATATAATTATATTCTAAATACGTTATAATTCTAAAAATTTTATAATGTAATAATTATAAATTAATTTAAATTCTAAATTAAATATTTTCTCGAGCAAGATAAGCTAATTATTCAAATCTAAAAAATCATCATATTTTTATAATATATTGTTAATTCTTTATTTCAATAAACCAATTTTTATTTTCAGATTATCATTGACTGTTTCGATTGTCGTTTTGATTGTTGCAAATATTATAGATCTTTACAGTAAATAAATCGAACATTCCAATTCATGTATCTGCGAGCAAATGGTACTTAAAGTTTCGGAAGGAGCAAAGTTCATTTTAGTGTCGCCGCAACTTTTGCTCGTGTGGATTTGTCAGCGATTCGCAAGTTTCTAATTCCTGAGTCGTGTTAATGGCAAGCATACATTCGCAACAATGTTACTTTTGTTGCGGTCGTATCAATGTGGCTACGAGTAGTTTTCCCGGCAACATGTCACCGTTGTCACTCTTCAGTGAATTGCCGCGGTCGGACCGTTGACAACAATTCAACCATTATGGGATTACATAACCAGGACAGAGCCACGAATTATCTCATAAATCTATAATGGAGGTTCGCTAATTTTTCATTTATTCTTCGAAACGAACATTTCGAACGTTTAATCTCGAACTTAAAAAATGTTTAAAAATACAAACAAAATATTATTAATTTTATTTAAAAATTCTCTATACAACTAACACATGAAAAAAAAATTATTAAATCTTAATTAAAATACTATTTCTTTGAATAGTACTAAGTAAATATTTACTTATGATAAATAAATATTTACTCAATAAAAAATAATAAAAATAAAAGTAATAGTATAGTATAGTATAACTCAATAAAAATAATAGTTAAATCGAATTAATGGTTTTTGTATCAAATAAATATATGTTTACATTTAATAAATATTTAAAACAATTCAAACATAAACATTTATTAAAATTTTTTTTCAGTGCATATACTATTAATAAATGCAATAAATTAAAAAATTTGGCTGTAAAGAAATGTTTCTTAATTTTATTCGTGTATTTCACATGCGTGTTATATTAATTTTATATTTAAAAAAAATCGTAATACTCATATCTAGAATTATTTATTCATAAATGTATTACAGGATTCTTAATAATCTTGATACAGTACATAGAGAAAAAGTATATAGAGAAAAGGATATTTCAATTCACGACGGACAATTGTGGCGATAAAGTATGGAATGTGATTGATTTTTATAAAAAATTCGTAGACGTCAAATGACAATAGGGACCATATGTTACGCTTCGCATCAGTTGGCAAAACGCGCAACTTTGTCGACACGATTCATCGCGAAATATGCATACATGCTTTCAATATGTGTATGTAATGTAAATTGAGCCCAGAGGGTTGAATTTTTTAATTAAAAAAATGGTCGCTAAAATAGCTCTTCATTCATAACTATAACTTCTATTTCAATATTCTTTTTGTTATGATTTTCTGAATAAAAAATCTCTGCAAAGCAGAAGTAGCATAAAGATTAATAATTTTATTTAATTATGTAATTATTCAAATATAAATAAATTGCCTATAAGCTTCCGCAGTTTGTGTGTAAATTTATACATATTAATTACCGCGAACACATAGAAGCAATTTATTTATATTTGATCTATTCTTGGAACCACAACATTATTTTATTTTAATTATGTAATTATTATTCATTAAGAATAATTAAATAAATACAAGACAAAATTAAAAATTGTTTCTTAAACAATGTCCGTTTCTTGACAGAAACTTTAAAATAAAAAGACAGTGAATAAAAAGCAATTAATAAATATTTTTCAATCAGTCTTAAGTAGTTGCAAATACTTTCGTCAAGGAGAGCTATTATAATTTCGCAATGAATCGTGTCGACAAACTTGCGCATTTTGCAAACCGATACGAAACGTAACATATAGTCCCTATTGTCATTTGACGTCCACGAATTTTTAAAAATATCAATTATTGTCACAATTGTCCCTTGTGAATTGAAATATCTTTTTCTCTATATACTTTTTTTCTACGTACTATATCGTTGATAAAACAACTTAATAAAAATAATTGTAGAATATCTCAATAAACAATTTGTACACTAAGAGAACAATTTTTGATATTTGTAATTAAAATGACTATTGCCAATTATATATATTGTATTTCTTATTAAAACTATGATTGTTTTTATTATTAATATTATAGCAGTAATAATCATAATTATTATAATAATATGTAATTATAATTACAGATACTAAAAACTTTTCTCTCAATGTAATTTCTCAAATGTATCGAATCCTTCATTGACTATTCAATTGTTCAAAAACATAATCGAGTCTAATTACAACAAAATATATCATGCTAATGTCTAATTTTCATAAAGTATCATATCGATGGAATCGCGTAATGGGACAATAATAGCAAGGTTTTACCCATACTGATGCCAGAGCTGGATGGATCCTCATTCTTGGCGCCCCAGCTGCCAGCCAGGTTGAGTGCCAGCAGCGGCCGTTCCTTCAGCAACTCAGCGACCGATGCTAGACCCTCACATCCACAGCCTAAATGGGGCAAGTGCAACGCCTGTACTTGAATGCAGTCGCGAAGTGCCTCGCAGACCCGGGACACTTGCTCACCGGACAGATTCATGTCGAGCACCAAACGCGACAGACTACCAGAGGCGTGACTCAGGCCGCGACAAAGAGCATTCACCACGCACTCCAGTCTGAAATCAATCGCATTAATGGCGGTGTTAATAAGACACTTAGGCATGTTCCCGCATTTTATCATCCAATGCATTATAATGTCAAACTAAACCAATTAAAATAAAATGAAATTTGGACGTTTATAAATCTTTTAAAGTCAGAAATATATGTGTAAAACTCAAACACATAGAACATGGACTGCGCTATTCGTATCTAATTAAATGTAATCAATAAAAATAAAAAAGAAGGAGCGTAAAGACGGCCAATCTCTTCTCTTTTTAAGATATTGGTTGAATAGAAAGAGACAAGAGAAAGAGGACTGATTGTCTTCGTGTCCTATTTCTCTCATTTTTATCGACACATAGATGACGCAATCCATTCTTCGGTTTTGATAAAATTAATATTGAGAAACAAAGAATGTCATAAATACAAGGCTCATTAATGGATAGTTTTTGAGCTTTAGTATATCAATGTGTAAGAACTTTATTGTTCTCACAGAACACTTTTGATACACATCATAATTCAAAAACTGTCCATTAAGCTTTGTGCCTACGACACCTTTTGTATACCACTTTATAAACTATATTACTTATGTGTAACTAACTCATTTTATCAATGGATATAATTTTCCATATAACGATTAGTATAGAGTCTCTGTCCAGTCTCTTTTCATGGGGCTCAATGAATTAATAATTTTCTTGTTAAATACACATGATGAATTAATTGTCCGTTATAAACTGCAAACATTTTTGGAGCTTCATATACAAATTATACATGTAATATCTATTTATTCTGAAAGCATGGTTAATATTGAAGTTATATAATATTGAAGTTATATACATTTCGATTTGAATTATGGTAAATGAAACGCGAAACGAAGGGAATTTCCATCGGTGTTAGCGATATATTATATTCTGCTATAGGAATAAAAACTGTAGCGAATCAGAAGCGCTTGACGTGAGGGATGAAGAAAAAGGGAAGCTCGGCTTTCGGAGCCGCGCGCGCAAAATGCAACCAAAATTCGGTTGGCGTAGTGAGTTAGCGGTGTGGAAGTTCGGCGGACTTGTCGGCAAATATATTTATGCATATGTAATGCGCATTTCACGCTGTCTATTCGCGGCGTTATTCCTCCAGCGTATCTGGCGTGCGCGTAGATACGCATTATGCAAAGTCCCGACGCTCCTCTGGGGAACGTTAGGCAAAAGCCTGGATTTTCTCGCGCGTGGTAAGCCGACAACGAGCGAGCGGGAGAGAACGCTGGCGTTGCACATCCCGATTACTCTCGGCTCTTGAAAATTGGCTCAAGTCAGTAGTGTAAGTTCTAACTAGCGTTTAGAACTTCTCTCTCTTCCGCGAAGATGAGGAGAACAAGAAGGATTCCTTCACACCTTCCTATTATTCAGAGACGACGTGTTATTATGCTCTTCATGTCGTCGCGCGGTCTAATATAAATTAGTAATAGTAATTTGCAACAACGGACAAATGTTACGTATATAATGGAAAATAAATATAGATAATTAATCAAATAATATAAGATTATAGAGGATTTTTCAAAAGTAAATACACTAATTGGCTGACATATTTAAACTCTTATTATTTCACAGCTATTGTTTAAAATAAAAACTTATGAATAATTTTTTAATTTTAATTTTTTTGAAAATTTTCATGATGTTTGGATTCGCAAATTTCGGGATTATACTCTATATATGTATATATGGACATATATTCACACACACACACACACACACACACACACACACACACACACACACACACACACACACGACACACCGCGCGCGCGCGCGCGCGAACAAATTGATATTTGATATTTTTTTCTTTCTATTCTACTTTCTTTCATTTTTTGAGTTTTCTCTTTCATATATTCTTTTTCTTTTAAGTCTTTTACCATATATATTATTCGCTTTTTTCTATACAATCATTTTTTTTTTTATATTATCTACTTCTTCCCATTATCTTTTCTTCATCGCTTTTTTTTATTTTGATTTTTTTCCTTTCCTTTATAGCGAATTACGTTATTGCGACCGAAGCTTTTCAAAGCTTTCGCGCGGAATTGGCCGTTTGGCCTTCGAGATGTGAGACAATTGCGGGTGAAGTGCAAGCAGTGTATTCGCAAAAAGCGCGGGAGAGATGGCTAATAGTGCAAGTTGCGAAAATGGCAGGCAACATTCTCGTAACGTGGATTGTAATATTAATCGAGTATTTGCTTTGGCTTTCGACATCGTCGGAAAGTACGCAGGAAGAATTCGTAAACATCTTAGAAGGCGTATCACAGTAAATGTGATAATCCGCCGCATTTCACGCAAAAAGGGAGCAAAAAAGGGAAAACTTCCACGATGCAACTTGGCCACTTTGCATGGTAACTGGCTTCAAACAAGCGATAAAATATCGCGAATTTCAAAAATTTCACTCTATATCTCGTTTGATTATCCGAATAAAAAAAAAACAGGCTAAAGATTTTTTAATTTATTAATTTTTCAAGTTAAAAGGAAAATATAATTTCGGATAACGTTATTATATTAAATAGCTGAAAGATTATATAATGTAAATTATATAATGTAAATTATTTTCCAAATAATTATTTTAGAAGGAGAGAATAAATTACACTTCACTTTATTGTTCGTTAAGTATATTTTTTTTATCATTTTTATTAAACATCTTCTATATAATCGTTTGAGGAAGATTATAGATGAAAGAATTAATGAAAGAATAAAGAATATAAAAATTTGTGAATGTTAAATATTATATATTATAAGATAAAATATAATAGATACGCAAAGATATCGATAAGATCATGTTGTGCTCGATTGTGGTTTTTATCTTGCAGCGTATGATAGCTTCAGTAATATCCGGAAAGCACTCTTTAGAAATATTCAAAGTGACGATGGCCTGATCGATTCGTCCGAATAGAAAAGATAGACAGGAATATTGACTTTCGCGCCACGAGAACAAAAGTGATGGCCTACGTTACGGAAAAGCGATTGAATGAAGCGTAAAGGTTTGGTAAAGGTGGAACTGAAACAAGAGGAGAACGTTTCGACGCGAAACAATGAGCTGCCGCACATCATCGAGAGAGTTTCTCCGAGGCAAATGGTAGATGTTCGTCCCCTTTTATTCCTCCGCCTCGCAGTTGCATCGCGGAAAAGATACTACTCTCGTGGAATTTGAAGAGATCTCTCGCGAAAAGGGTTGTATATTCGGATTGGTAGAAAAGACCGATAACAAAAAGCAGAATGAACGAAAACTCTCAATTTTTGTGAGCGTAATCGCATTTAAAATCAAATATAAGGAAAGAAAGAAAATTTGGAAAATACTTTCCATGTTGTAAATATTTGGAGAATATGATTATCCTCATTTACAATACATTTAATTTGTTAAACATCAATCAGATTTAAGTTGTTTGTAATCTAAAATATTTGGATTGAAGACATCATTTCAAAAGCATTTCGACATTTCTGATTTGGTTCAGCAATTAAAAATCTATTTGCATTTTTGTGAGAGAAGATTAAATTTTTCATGTAAAGAAAGTGGCGAAGTGAAGAATAAAATCGTAATATGTATAACGGCGAAGAGAAAGTCTCCAGGGAAAAGCTCGAGGCAACGGGATAAAACCAGAGAGATTGAGGCTGTGAGATTCAATAAGAGAGCGCGAAAGGGTAAAAAAGGGGAGATAGTAAGCCCGGTCGCAAGTTAAAGTTCACGACGTGTCTCGTCGTTTTCTTTAATTTTCCGTCGTGACTCTTTCTCTTCTCTTTTCCTGCCTTTGTCTCTTTTCCACTGAGCTTTCTTTCGAGAACTTGTTATTGCCCGCACTCTTTGCAGAGAGTACATTTTCGTTGTTATGTGCTGTGCACATTTTTTTTCATAATAGTCTTCTTTGCTTCCCGCTAAAAACGGGAATTCGCGCCACGCAGAATACATAATTCAACAAAAACTATATGTTGTCTGAAAAATAAATTCCCCGATAAAGATGAAAAAGTGCCTCTTGATTTCGAGGTTAAATGAAATTGAATTCTTAAAGGGATGTTGAAGGGACGATCGAATTTGATCGATGTCGACAATAGACAGACTTTTTTAGTTCTAAATTTAAAATGTCAATAATAATAATATCTTTAATTCATTTCTTACATTATATCGTTCTGTCTCATTCAATTGCATATATCTATCTTTATCTAATATATTGTAGCTTGCAAGATCTAATATCTACTAACACAATTACCGCTCTGTTTTTCATTTTCATTCTAAGTCTTCGTTAAGCATATATAATTTACAGTTGAATAAAAATTTTTTTTAACTTTTAATCTTAGTTTCATCAAACTTAGTATTATTCATAATTTTATGTAATCTGACGGGTGGCAACGTCATTTTGTTTCTATAGGAGCTACAGAACTTTTATATTAAAGAAACATATTTTATTTAAGGTGATAGCTTAACGAATTAAAAAATGTAAGTTTTTAATTTTTTATTTTAGATTTTAGTTATTTTAAAATTTCAATAAAATCAACTATTCTATCTCTCCTAATTTTGCATTTATTTCAATTCAAAAAGAATTTCTGATTCTGTTCAGTCAATTCGGAGATTTTTATACATCTGTATCGATAATATCGTCACCGCTGCAATCCCTTAAGTATAAAAAGTCAGATAGTTTTCTATTCACAAAATGGTAATTTATGTAAAATTAAATACGTTTTATATTAAATCGTATGTAATAAAACACATACAAATATGTTAAAAAATAATCTAAATTAAAATAAATAAGATAGATCAAGAACGAAGAGAAAGGAGAAAAAAAGAAGATAATAATAAATTAATTTATAAATCTATTTAGAGAGAATTATTTAAGTATAGACATTTCAATTAATATTTTTAAAAATTGATAGATGAGTCAAGTGGCAATTGCAAATAACATATTCTAACAATAATGAATCGCTTCAAATTCCGCACGTTTGCTTGATCTTAAATTCGAGATCGACACAACGCCAAATTTATCGGTGAATCGAGTGTCACGTACCCGTCTGAAATACTTTCTCCATCTCCTCGGGGACACAGAGAAAAGGAGAATTAAAGCATCTCGGTGGAAAACATAAAGCTTGAAATAGTCGAATGACACCCAAATGTGCTTAAAATGAGAGAAATCGATAAAGTCGATAAAGTTCGAGTGAAAACGTGATAATGTGAGCAAGAAATTAAAATCTATTGCAAAAAACATAAATGAAAAATCTCAAAAAGGTTTCCTCAGAAGTACCTTTGCGTACTGTGTAATGCAATTGCATGGATATGCATCTATTATGCGCGCAGATGCGTAAAATAGTCTTATTACGCTCGATAAAGCAGCGGGAAAAATGTGGACGTACGTAAACGAAAAAAGTTTATGCATGAATCTTCGTCCATGCTGTCGTCCATAATATCAGATAAATTAGTAGTTTAATTATTGTAATGTAGGTAGCACTCGGCACACATTCATAGAGCAGGAAATTCAGCAATGTAAATCTTTCATTCTAGGGAGCCACGAATTATCATTTTTTAATAACAGAAAGAAATTAATACAAAGTGATAACTATTTTTATTTTAATTTAAGAAAGATTGATAATAATGGCTTTTACCAATTTTTTTCGAAGTACCTAGATCGTAATTATTACAGTTCTCATTATGAAGCCGTCGTTGAATTTCTCATGAGTTAAAAACCGCAGATCGAGATGGTCTTTCTCGGCAAAAGTTTTCTCGTTCGTGAGCGAGCCAAGCGCGCAAGTATGCGAATGTATATTCACTCGATTCTCACAAGGTAAACACGCTTTCTCCACGTCTGCCATTTCTTCACTCCCTTCGGGCAAAGACAAATATCCGTGCGATGGACCCTTTCGTCGCCCTTCGTCGCGCGACAAAACAAATTTTTCAATTTTGACGTCTCCGTGGGAATCGCACGAGCCTGATGGAAATTTTAGGGGTGGCCACCGAGCTTAACAGTAAATCCTGACGCTTTATAATATTTATACTATATGTTCACGAGCGTGCAGCCAAAGATCAATATTTAAAAAATTTATTGTTGTTACAAATGTAAAACAATGTATATTGATTATGATGAAAATGTTAATTATAGTGTAACCCATTACAAATTCTAGAAAACTTTTTATTTCAAATTTATAATTTATGCTAAATATTTATGCTAAACAATTTATTTATGCTAAATAATTTTTTAAAAAGAGATTCATTTATGATTTTTTCTTTTTTACAATGGACAATATAAATCTTGATATAAGTACAGAGATCTCTATGTCCACCTATATAAAAATTAAAACTTTTTCATTAATGTTCCCTTTATTTGTCTTTCTTCTTTTACTTTATCTCTCAATGTAGAAATCTAAATATAGATCTCCGTTCGCTCTCTCGTCTTTTACACTTCTTTTCGTGGCGCGGAAGAGCAAATATCTTCATTGGCCGTTTGTCCTGACCAACCTCATATATGATCGAACGAACAAGCAGACTTTCTGTAATAACTCTTCGTCATCATCGAAGATATCGATGGCGCCATATCGAGCGTCCTTGAGGTGCAATAATGCCGACATATTCGCTAGTTCTTTATTCTTCGAGCCATTGAGTCACGTAAGTGGATTCACGCGATAAGTCGCCCCGTAAAATAGTCCCTACTTTTCAACGTAAAAAGTCATCGTTTCATTGTTAATTGAAAAGTTTTATGGAACAATAGCGCGAGAAAGTAGTTTTAGGTGAAAGTTTAATCGTGATCAAACAAAAGATTAATAAGTAAAAAAGAAAAATAAATAAAAAAAGAAGCAGAGAAATGGCTATAAAATTGGTAGTAAAAGAAAAAAGAAAAATTAGGAAATATAGAGGGAGTCTCACAACTATCGTGCAATATTTTAATAATAGCACATTCTGGAGACAAAATAGAATAAAAAAATCCTAATATGCAGAATTCGCGCAATGAGATTCGTAGTTACACATGCCCATTAAATCTATTATCTCTTAGTAAGACGCATGTCTGTGTAACCATGAGCTTTAGCTCGCAAATTCTCAAGTGACATTATCAGTTATATGATCGATTATTTGATTGATAATTCCAAAATTATAACTTCAATATTTTCATATTAGAATTTTTTATTCTATCTTCAGAATATGCAATGCTATTAAACACTACTGGTAATTATAAGATATCTTATAGCAAGAATAATTAAGCGGATAAGCAAAAAATTCAAGGTAAAAAATACTATACAAGCTTCCCGCCTATGTGCCAATTTCAACAACTCAATTATGTGACGGTAAACCTGGTAAACCCATCCGGCGCTTTGAACATAGTTTATTCTCCTGAAGCGCGCTTAACAGGCAATCTTATGAATTGTTCGGAACTTGCCATCCTCGGAGAGATCGTGATAAGTGGAAATTTAGAGTTCGCTTCAGCAAGTGAGTATATCTGTAAAACGACTCACCTATCATGGGCCGCCTCCTCGAGACAAGTGATGACAAGCTCGAAATCGTTGAGCTTCTTTTTGCCAAGCACACTCTTTAAATGTCCAGCCAATCGCTGCGCTTCGTCTGCAGGGAACTCCTGTCCCAGCAGAGACGTAATCCTGACGAGTTTGACACTCTCGTTGCCGGCGAGCGCATCGAAGAAATCATCCAGATATCTTGGATCAGATCCACGTTCCACTTGGAACACCACTTCGAGCGCTTCAAGCGTGCAAGCGGGACTCTCGAGGATCCTGGCCCATCCTTCTAGCTCTAGAGGGGACGTGTGTACCAATGGAGCTGGAGGTCGTTCGTTGGGTGCGGGCCCGAATCCAGGACCCGCGCCAACCAATCGGCAGACCGCTGAGATGTTGCCATCGGACGCACCGGCTGCCTTTAGCAATGAGAACACAGCTCTGGGTGGCACTTCCAGCGGACATAATTGATTCAGAATCAAATGGGTCTTGGGACCTAGCAAGCCGGCTAAATGACCGATGATACCCGAGGGTAGGCCCTCCAATTCACGGCGCAGGATGTTGGCATATTGCGCCACCGAAGTAAGATAGTACGCCGCCAAGAATTCCGCCACTGCCATATGAATAGGCGTGTAAAGATCTGGTTTGCGTCTTTGACCGAAGGTCAGGCCCCTCGTGAGGAAACCGAGTCGAGTAACTTCGATGCCTCCACCTCGTGCCCTTAGCTCAGCTTCCGTGTAACAGCATCTGCCCTCCCTTAAGGCAGCCAGGGATACCTTGCCGAAGTCCTCAAGACGCTTCCTACAATGGCCTGGAATTTCCTCGTTATAGGGAATCGGCGGGTCTAAGCTCCTTTTCACGATGCACTTCACCGCGGCTTGTACGAGGGCGCTTGTCTCGGTCGGTAGATTTCCGGAGTCCTGGTAAGCAAAATCATGTTCGTGGATCAAGATATTTCTATAGGATTTTCTAGGGCTCTTTATATTATACGTTGTTTGAAAATCGAAAAGTGAACCATTTCCAAAAGATATACAAAGAAAAAAAATTTATAGTCACAATAAAACTGTCGTGTATATATTCGTAAATAATATAAAAACAATCACTTTAGATATTATTTAAAAAAAAATCACTTTTTAAATTACATATAATGGAAATATTTATTAAAAATAAATTTACGTAAAAATAATTTATATAAATATAAAAATTCATTGCTAAATTCATTTTATCGTTAAAGATAATACTTCTAGCGCACGTGAGTCTTTAAATAAAATTAATAAAAACTATCTAATATGATTCGATGATTTTATAATCTAACAAATTTTTAATTTTCATTACAAGTTTTATATGATTTATTAATATTTTTCTTTTAAAAAATAAGAGATGTAATTTCCTAACTAAAATTCTTCGCATTATAACTAGCAGACATTCGATATTTCTAGTTAAAATCCTACCTGATACAAGCAACAGAGCATGATCCAACCGAGCGGATGCTGGCCGAGCTGCCTGACGGATTGCGGTTGCACATTAAGCGCTTCAAGAAATTCGCAGGCCTTCTCGGCGATATCGTTGTGAATGAAATAGGCCACGCAGAGCCGTTCAACGTGCGGCCATTCGAGGCCGGCTAGATGAATTCTGCGTTGAACCAAAGGTGCGAGAGCGATTGAGTTGCTAGGCGAGCACGTAACTAGAATCCTGGCGTCCGGGAACAATCGTCCCTCTAGGAGATCGGCTGCATCGCCGAGTGATGCTCGGCCGCCCACGCATTCATCGTAACCGTCCAGGACGAAGAGTACGCGATCCTCCATCAGGTGCAAAGTACGCCATACCTGCGCGATCGCATCACCCAATGCGGCCGTTCTTGGGAATAATTCTCGCGCCAGATAATTCAGGACGGGGCTACCGCGAAGCTCGCGCAACGGCACGATAAACGCCAAAGCAGGACCGTCACTCTGTGTCGCCCATTGATGCAATAGTCGCAAACAAAGAGTGGTCCGGCCGCTTCCGGGGCCACCCTCGATAGCGACGCGCCGCGGCGCCTCGGATACGGTACCATCACTCAACTGGAAATCATAATTTGTTTCATATGAATAAAATGTAATAATAAAAATTGGAAAGATAAGTGTAACACTTTTGGCAAAAAAATATCGATCGCTATGCACTTATCAAGATTTGATTAATGATTTGATAAATATTATTATTATTAATCATTATTATAATCAAAGTATTAGAATTACAATAAGATATTAAAAATCAACATATATATTTTGATTATTAATATTATAATTAAGGTATTATATAGTCATGATTGATTGTAGAATGTAAATTCGTGTAAAATACTTGATCATCCCTGATCTGTTGATTAAATTTAAAAAAATTGTTTGTTTGCAATTATTCAAAATTTTCAACAAAAAAAATAAATTGAAACATTTTCCACAGCGGATTAGAAGAAAATAAATACGTAACATTAGTGTTTAATTTAAATTTCACATAACAAAACGTGACAGCAAAATATATTATGCAGAGTTTGTGTAAAGGAAAAATAAAAAAATGTAAATTAACTAAAACAAACTCGTGATAAGTGTCATTTATGTAGACCGCAGACGACTGGCCGACTAAAGCAGAAATATAAAAAGGGTTAATACAATGAATTGTAAAGTAATAGTTTTTTCATATAGCGAAAATTCTTGCCGTATAATCAATGCGAGAATAAGAGGAAAAAATTTAGTTTGTCTGATCAACTTCTCGGATTCTTCTTGGATTCCTGATCTCCAGTCAGAGCTAATTAAAATCTAAACTCCTTCTCCACACACCTCTAATCCTTTTCAATATATCAATCATCATTTGGAATTTTGTAACTTCCAACACCTTATCGACTATCACACGTGAGATCAACGTTCAACACTACGTCTTATAATTTGTACAATTAAACAACATTATGGCAAAATGTTTCTCCACAAGAATCGATACGTTTTTTGAACATTTCTCTTTGTACTTGTGAAGTTGCAAATTTTTTTTCAATTTTCGATCCTTAGACTCGAGATTGAAGTTCTTTTAACACCTCATGTTATTAAAAAACTCAAAAAATTATTGCTAGAATGTTAAAATTTTTTTGCATTGCATATTATATGCTTGAATTTCCTATATAATTATTTTGATGATCCAACAAAATTATTTTCAGATCTGTATCTATCTAAATTTTTAGCTATTTTAGCAAAATCGTTCCCTTCACGTAAATAGTGCAGCATAGTAGTAGTAAATAATGCAACTATTATAATTTCATAGTGCTGTTCTGATCATTCGTTCGTTTGACTGTCCGATTGCAAAATTTTTCAAAAATGATCTAACTTTTTTCAATTCCGTTATGTTTCAATATTTTTAACAAAGTTTTTTTCAAGTTAATTATAGGTTTTCGCTGCACTATTTCGTTGCAAAAGATTTATTATATTTGTGTATTTTTTTTGCCACTATATTTGTGTTACCGATATCTGCAGCCTTATTGCAAAAAGCTCTTTGCTCTCGCGATAGTCGTGAAATATCAAAGCTCTAACATGCTCGCTAGCAACAAATATCGCGCGGAATAATGTTGTCTGTCTACTTGCCACCAATCTAGGACAATCCCTGATAGGACAGTAGTGTATTCGTATTATGCTCGAATAGGAAGCAAAAATATTACGCGTTGCAGTTACAGCATTATGCAAACGATTAGCAGGAGCAGGCGATTAAACCACGTTTGTTTCGCATCATATAGCGTTGAGGGCAACGCCATTAACCGACGGTTAGATCGCCGTACCATCGATGGTGGTGGCAAATGATCGACGATCGATATCGGTAAGCAGTATCTCGATTCTCGTAATCGATAACCGTAATCCGTAGTACGGAACACGCAACGTTGCCGGTCATTCACTCTGTCAGCGATAATCGATCCGGTCGCGCGCGGCGTATACAATCTGTCGGTCGATGGATAACAGCGCCGGCCATTATACAGAGTACGATTGCAACATCCGGTTATTGGAATACTGGCGGATGAAAAAGAGTACGATACGAGTACATTCATTGTATAGGCGCGCTTCCCAAACAATTTTGAACTGATAAAATATATATTTGATAAAACTTTTATTACATAAAGCGTATCTATATCAATACACCTGTATCTATACACCGATGTATGTACACGTATGCCAGAGAGGTTCAAATATTATCATCAATTCACTGCCTGAGAGAGAGATTCAGAGATTCCTGATTTAAATTTGAATACTTTTATTCAACAAAAATTTGAGTCTAATTTAATTTTCTCACTGTCTTCAATATTAGATATTAGTGTTCGATAAAATATTAAAAGGCTTAAAGATATGATGAGATAAATATGTACAGAAGGATTGCGATTAATCATTAGCAGATTAATTGTTTCTTACTTCAAAAGTGACAATTAAAAAAATTACGTTTTTAAGAAAAGGGGAAAATCTATTTTTTAATTTAATAAAAAATTATTGACTAATAAATCGACAAAAAAGAATACATTTTTAAAAATATGATTAAATGTCATTTTCATTTCATATAGCAATCTTTAAAAGTTATATTCTTTTTAAGATGTAATGATTTTGATATCCTACAAACAATTTATAACAAGTTCAGAATAATTCAATAAAAATGGCACTCAAAAGATCACCAACATTGAAAAAAAATAATCATACGGTTAAAGCGAAAAATTATCTAGATACGAAAGTTAAAATCGCTAAATGGTTAGCACTGCGATATTGGATATGTATTGTAGCTAATCAATATATAGATGACAGAGAGAGAATTTATATCTGAACCATTCATTAAATTTATCAAGAAAGTTTCTCCGTAACGTTCAATCAGATGACTGTAATTCATTAGCAGTGATTCATATTTTATGAGATTTAAATTTTCTTACATAAATTGTTAGAATATTGTGCTATAAATTCTACTCTATAATACATAATTTTCTATCAAATACAAGAAACAGCGATAATTCTAGCTGGAGCAGCAAAATATGTTTTTTTACTTAAACAGTTTATATTTACTTTAATCCGTTAAAATAATTAAATTCTAAATAATTTCTTCTTTAAACTTCGACTAAAACTATTTTAATTCTAAATCTAATTCTTTTATAAAATTCTTTATAAAAGATTTTCATTTTTATTTACAAAAACGACACAACTCAAAATTGTCATGCATTCTTGTAGAAGATATTAATATGATCTCTTTGAAAACCTTAAAAATGATGAAATGCTATTTGACCGATGGAGGCTAAAGTTAAATTAGTTTATTTTTGCTGATTAATTGAGTAACCTTTATCTAACTCATTCATAGTAATAACTCAAAAATCATATTTTTTAGTTGTGTCATTTTTCAAGTGGGAATATATTATCAAATCTTTATTATCAAACTGATATTATCACATCTTAACATTTTTTATTAAGAAAGACGAATTCAATTCGTTCGACTGACGTTCAATTGAAATTAATTGATTCAAACGTTAACCGAGAGGGATTAACGAAACGTCGATAGCATGACGCGGGTTTTTGATGAGATAATGCAACAACATAGATGCATGAAGGATCGTAAGCTCGTTACCGGATAATCCGCCGCAGAATAATTCCTGCGTCATGCGGGATCTACCTATCAATCCTTTGATAGAACCGCATTTGTTCCGACCACTTCCAGCCGCAACCAATTTCGAATGCCGAGAAATGAGGGACAGGCGAGAAAAATATCCTGCGGAAACGACGGATGCGAAGTGCGTCAGGGAGGGTCGCGTTGGAAGGATACAAGGCGATAAATCCTTCGTTTCCGAGAAGATTAGAAAGTCTACACGCTCGTAAATATTCTTCGATAAACCGCAATGGGGAGGCATGTTGAAAGCAGATGACATTCATTATTGTATTACGTGAGGAGGGTCAAAGTGGATTATTTAAATATAATTTAATGAAATCGTTGATTTGCCATAGCAGCAACGGAGAAAGGCAATTTTTTTCAAGATAACAACGTGCTCTTGAAATTTTTATATAAACAAAACTTTTATAAAAACGAATTATTTTTATTTTCTCGACAGCAATTTTAAAAAAAGGAAATCAAATTTAAACAATATTCAGCGAAAAATCGACTATGCGATAAAACACATAAATGAAAAATGCCATTCAATTAAGGAAGTTTTTTGTATCTAATAATATTTCTTGTAAATTTATATAATTTCCAGTTCAAAACAATCTATGCGTCGATTTGTCGGCCTTAAAATGTAGTTCTAAACTGAAGCTGAAATAGTAAAATAACTTAAAGACAAATAATTTAATATTATTAAAACAAATAAATATCTTAGAAAATTTTGATTTAGGACAGGATTTTAAAATCAATAAATTATAGGCGTATAGTTTGTTTAAACTGGAAATTGTATAAATTTATAGAAATACATATTATTAGGCATGAAGAATTGCTTTGACTGAATATGGCATTTTTCACTCATGTGTAAATAAAATTTAAATTGCATTGTAATTATAGTATCATGTATCACTTAGATATAATGTGAATTATGGAAACTATATATGTATATAATTTCTACGTAATTCTTAATTAATATATATTTAATACATAATATCATATTAAATTATTACATTGCATAATCATTACATTCGTTAATTATGATGCAACAATAAATACTTATATTAATGCAACATATGTATGTCAGTGCCAATTATTTCTCCTGGTGATCCAATTAGACGCAACAACAAATTCATGAAGGAATGAGTTGAAAATGATAGCGTCCACAAATCTCAGCGAAAAAGATCGGTATACACCGTATTCATACGATACGTAAGAGATATCGCGCTTCATCCTGCCGCAGGAAATTTAAGGAGACAGTGATACAGGAAGCGAAGGGCGTTTCACGGGAGCGATGTGTCTCTTCGCGAGCATATCGTGGAAAGAAACGCGATGGGAAAGATTCGCTGTGGGATCGTGCCAGCCAGGTCGCGACATTTTCAGATATACGTCCTCGCATATATCGGAAATGGCAGGCAGCGATTGGACGTGCATCGATTCC